GTTCTTTTTAAAAAAAATTAAGTTCTTTATTGGTTAATGTATTACATAAGTCTCCTTTTTCCCCATTGACCTCTCCCCAGCCACACCCAACCCCCAGCACAATCCCTCCCCGGCTCCCTCATCTGTGTCCATTGGTTATGCTCATATGCATGCATATAAGTCCTTTGTTTGATCTCTTACCCCCTACCTGTAGTCGGCAAACTGCGGCTCCCGAGCCACATGCAGCTCTTTGGCCCCTTGAGTGTGGCTCTTCCTAAGCCTTAGGAGTACCCTAATTAAGTTAATAACAATGTACCTACCTATATAGTTTAAGTTTAAAAAATTTGGCTCTCAAAAGAAATTTCAATCATTGTACTGTTGATATTTGGCTCTGTTGACTAATGAGTTTGCTGACCACTGCCTGCCTTCCATAGGTTGTTTATAAACTAGCAAGTTTTGTATTGTGCTTGATTCATGGCTAAAGTTTTAGAATGGAAACTATAACCTTTCTGTTTGCATCTCTCTGAATGTTTATGGGTATATATATATATATATATATATATATTAAAGATGTGATATTTTTCTATGTCTGGGTGTTAGTGCCAAAATTAAATTATAAAAAGGAGTTTAATATCAAAAGTATACTGGTGTAAAATTAGAATATGGTTTTCTCTCTGTTAAAAGGACAGTTTCCTTGTATTTATTGGTGGGTGGGCCTTGACGGCCTTATACTGAGATACGTAAAAAAAAGAGAGAGAGAATTATTGCATGGTCTCACTTACATGTGGAATCTTAAAAAACAAAACAAAAAAACAAGCTCATAGATACAGAAAACAGATTGGTGGATGCTAGAGGTGGGGAAGTGATGTCAAAATGGGTGAAGGAGGTCAAAGTGTACATGCTTCCAGTTATAAAATACATATGAATGAAATATATACTATGGTGACTATCTGTATATATAAAAGCCTAAGCGACCAGCCAATCGGCCGACCAGCCAATTGGCCAGTAGTTATGATGTGCACTGACTACCAGGGGGCAGATGCTCAACACAGGAGCTGCAAGCAACAGCAACTTTGTAGAGTGCCCTCTCGCACTCCAGGATCCCTCCCGGGATGTTGGACTGCCGGTTTCGGCCTGATCCCCACAGGCCAGGCCAAGGGACTCCACCTGTGGGAGGGACCCCACTCAGCCCGCAGATGCCCTTAGAGCCCCAGCACCACCCCAGGTATGGCCAGCCAGGGAGGGACAATGGAAAGTTGGCACCAGGGCATGTCTGGCCTGTCTCGCCCAGTCCTGCCCACCGGCCACCTTCTAATTAATTTCCTTTCAATGTGCACGAATCTATGCATCGGGACTCTAGTAGTTAATTACACTGTATTACATATTTGAAACTTGCTAAGAGAGCAACCTTAAAAGTTCTCATCATAAGAAAAAAATATTCATAACTATGTATAGTGATAGAAGTTAGCTAGATTTATTATGGAGATCATCTCAAAATATATACAACATTTAATCATTATGTTGTACACCTGAAACTAAGCTAATAAGTAAATTATACTAAATTTTTAAAAATTCCATGAAACACTTTCAACATGCTTAGGCTATGTCATTTGACTATGCTTTCTACCGAAAACTTGTTTAAAATGCAAAGAAATTAATTCTAATAATAAAATTGCATTTCAGAAAATTGATGAAGTAACAGAAAAAATATTTTATTTAAAAAAATACTTATTTGGCAATAGTAGCATTCTAACAATTTTCTTGCATTATTTCTTTAAATACAAATACAGTTTACTTCTATATATGAGTCAAGGAATTTGATCATCAGAGAGCAGTCATCCTCCTCGTCTCTTTGGAGGCCTGACATAGAATTAGGAACTAAAGAGCTCGCACCTGCCAGGTGTATGATGTGAACAGACCTTTAGCTGTGTGTCTAATTCACTGGTTGGAATTTGGGAACCAACACCTGATACCTCCACTAGCAACTGCAATGGCAACAACCACTATAGCCACTGACAGAAGGTCTGTAAATTTTTTGCATCCATCACTTCTGGGACCTGTGAAGTCATCTTCCAATCCATCAGTGATAAATGCATATTCCTGCAAATGCAGAACTCTAAACATTAAAATGTTTTTAATCAAATGTGGAACACTTGGCCAGTTGCTTGGCAAAAGTAGTCTCTCCTAATTGTAGGCTGTTTCTCTAGACCTTCCTCACACAAACAAATTGAAACTGAAACTCTCTCACAGCATTTCTGTTCTTTGCCATCCTAGTAAAAAGAGAAAAAATTATAAATTTACTTAAAAATATTTCTGATAGAATCAGATATAAAACCCAACAGATATAAAACCCAATGATACACTGTAAATTTTTATTAAGAAAGATTGTTTTCCTCGTGTTCCCAACCCCTGAAATCACTTCTGAGAAAAGTTTGACCTACCAGTTTTTCAGGATTCAGTTCTGAGTATTAAGGTTCTCAGTTTCTGTCATTTAAAAATTAGGTAAATAGTAATTATTTTTATGGAAATAAATGCTTTTAAATTTTTAATTTTTGAATGCATCAACTGATTTGCATTCTATTTAAATAAAATGAAAAGATAAATATACAATAGATTGATAATTGAATAGATATCAATAAATGTCTGAAAGTGGTACATCAATCAAGTCTTCCAAAGCTTTATAAACACAGCCATTGGAATTTGCTTCAGGCTAAAACTTGGCATTCAAAGTTAATGGTGGAGACACAAATTCCTTTTCCAAAGAGCTGTTCTCATTGGTGAAGCTGTTCTTACATGTAAAGCCGTGGGTTCAAGGGAAAAGACAAACACTTTCTCAGGCTTCTCATGATTTTTTTAATCTATTCTGTGCAAAAATATGGCTTACAGTTTATTGCTGAAATGTAGGAACCAGAAGATTCCCAGTCCACAGTTTCAAATATAACAAGTTTCTCAATTACTTGCAGAATAGTAACTCCCAGAACTTCAGGACTGAACCGTTAACAGTTTATACCCCTTTTACTCATGCAGAAAAATTCTCACAAAAGCCATAGCCCCCTAAAATGCCCAATTATAACGATACCATGACAATTCATTGGTTTTATCATAACTAGGTAAATCAATAACTTGTATAATTTTTCTTCCATGAGGTAAAAAGCTGTGATAATCATGTCTTCATAACTTCACTCTTACTAAAATGTTTCTGAAACGAATAGATAATAACAAGCCCATGATCACATCAGGTGTCATCTGTTTCCAACTTGAAGTTTTTTTCTGTATCTTAGCTAAGCTGTGAAATAATATTTGAGACTAAAGAAAATGGTTTCCGTAGTGCAGCTTAAAGTTGACTTTTTCCAAATAACAAATGATTTTCTAGCATAACTAAAACTGTACAGTACTTTGTTGAAGCAACAAGTTGCCCTAATAAAGTTTTTATTTGAACCTTTGAAACTTCATATTCATCATCTTCCTTCACCCACTTCCTTGTCTAAAACAGGAAGAGTGTACTGATACAAATAGCTTGTCTTTTGAATCAAAGTTCTGTATTATCATGACCTTTCTATATTACAAATGGAGGTGTTGATGAAGTAGGAGTTTAGGAGAAGTGTGTACAGGTCCAGAAAAAAAAAAGTCCTGAAAGCTTGGAATTTTAAAAATGGAAAACCTTATTAGAAGGAAGTTTGCTATATTTTCTTTTTCTTCTAAAGAAAAACTACAGAAAACTGATTCAGTTCATTGAATGTTAGTTATCTATGTTCTGAATGTTTACAAAATTTTAAAATAAACGTTTCATCAGGAGGCTAAAGAGCAGGGTAGCCAAGCAGAGTTGAAGCATATTTTCATGTCATCTTGAATTGTGGATAGCAAAAGGACAGATTAGATCACATGGTGAAAGTCATGGTCCACCAAGCAAATGATCCTAGAAAACATTATCTTTCCCTTCTCACTTATTCCCCTTTTTGTTAAGAGAGAACTAACTCCTAAGTAATCACTCTGATAAATAAACCCCAGAATAACAAGATTTAGCCGTGGAAAGGATGTCCAGCAGCTAGAACTCATGAAGCTCTTATTGCCTGGCGATCCAGAGAGTCTGTTTGAACATTAGCTTCTAAATCCCATGGCAAATTAATTAATACCTTGATATAAATGGTTGTCTAGTTATATTGGAAAAGTTTGAGAGATGGACATTTAACAGGATGGTGTATCTTTAATTTGCTGATGAAGCCTCTCATTAGTGAAATCAATTACTGAGCTCTTACTTTAGAACTCTTGTGGTTCAGGCTTCCCTGTAGTACCTTCTGTTATTTTCTACATGAAAACACATTTATTTATTTCTATGCAGCATGAAAGGGAAATGAGAAGGGGTAAGCGTTCTTTATTCAGCCTCTTTAGTTGACCTTTTAAACTCTTCATATCCCAATCCCCAATTTGTGCCTTTAAAAATGAGTTACCTTACATATTTCTTCTTCTGTTTATTTTGCTGGGATTGTATAGAGTAATTATTTTTAAGAAAAAGTTTAATGTCTGTAAACAATGCTATATAGATAAGTTGACCTCACTTAGTATAGGTAAATCGAGCACTAAAGCATTCTACTGCTGGTGTAATATTCTCAATTGAGCTGAGTCATTACAGTAGAATATCAGCCACAGTCTTCAGACACCTTGACTTTTTTTTTAAAAGTAAAAAGATTACCTTCCTCTCAATCCCCCTGCTAAATAAAGACTGTACAAGAAAAAGCCCAACCAGTTGCAATTAATTTAGGAGATCTCAATGATCCCCTTGTGTTCATTGATTTTTGGTATTCTTGAATAATTAACATGACAGTAAAGCAAAAATGTATGCAACGCCTTATGCCACAATTGTTTTCCAGCCTTGATATGGAAACTCCTAAGTTGTTTTGACTGGGAAACTAATAGCAGGTTAGATAGTTCTGTACAAGTTTAGAGATATATGATGCAAAACCATGTGTTTCAATACATTCTTCTGGTCAGAACCACTTAAATCATCATCCTACACAAGCACATATTGAAACTCAACTTTAAGCATTTTATTTTTATGTACATTTCATTTTGTCCAGAAATAAAATATCTAAATACAGACAGACTGTAATGGTATATGTGTATAGCTGTCAACAATACTTGAGCTGAATAAATGCTTTGTACATTAACTTTCCTTTTTTAATGGAATTCACAGCTACATTGATAAAATGGATTCCTCATATCCTTTTTTTTTCTTTTTTAACCAATAACAAGCAGAGAGACAAGTACAAGTTAATATTAATAAGCAGCTCAAATAACACTTGGTTAAACTATGTACAATACAAACCATTCATACAAATGAAGACTAGGATATTGAATTTATTACAATATTTGTGTGTAGTAAAGATAAGACAGACACTTATAACTTACATGGTGTCTGTCAGGCATTTCCTTTCTTATAGAATGATCAGAACTTGTTTTAAGCAGCTTTAGCTGGTCTCAACTTTGCAAAAAGTCCAATGGTTGGTGATGGAAGCTGTACTCCAGTATCTGCCCACATGTAAATTCCAAATGTTGGCTCATCTTTACTGAGAACAGGCTCCCTCCATAGAAAAAAGAGCCATCTTGTATCACCTTGAATGTGCCTACAGTATGCTGGAAAAAAAGTTACTACACTTTGTTGTTGTTCATAAAATAAAGAATACTGAGCTCTAAAGACATATTTTTTCCATTTTAACAAGCATATACTCCTACAGTAGTATTTACCAGTACAGCTACTCCAAGCAATAGGTATGCATGAATGGGGACTATTGATTAGCATGTGCTCAAGACTTTAAAAGGGATTTCCACAACAGCAAGTGTTAGAAACCATCCACTGTCAAGTTAATCCTTTTGCCTGATGATGTTTGATCCTGAACCATTATGAGTCAGACAATGCAAGCCCTCTGAACAGGAGTCGTGACAGATGCCAGCTGAAATGTGTTCAGTGTGTGTGTTTGTGTACATCTATGTGTGAGAGCGTGTCTTCAAGTGTGGCTTGAAAACCTATGGTGATTTACAACTATACTGAGAGATGAAGCTGACTGGGCAGAAATTACATCAGATTGTTTTCCACTAGCAGTTTTGCAGCCAGTTGACAAGAGCAGCAGTGTAGACATATTCCAGGCAACAGATGTGACCTTCTTCTCTGAGGCGACAGCCCTGTCATATGACCTTTAACTCCTCAGGCTTCAGTCTCAATCCACCTCACGATCACCCTCATCCCGAGGGGAAGTAAGGTGTGTCGCTGTGATAGTTGTAGTCGGGGCACACTTTCTGTACCAGTTTATAATCTGTACTATAAAAGGAAATGTAAATACAGATCACCTTGAAGGGCTTGGAGCAGAGCCAGGATACATGACTTTGGGTCTGCTCCTGGTAACAGGTTTTTGAAGGGTCATAGTTGCAGAGTGTGTTCTTGGTGGCCTTGTCAACCTTTTCATATTCGATGCGACAGTTAAAGGACTTGGAATCTTTGGCATCAATCACGGTTTGTTGTGCCAAGTCGAATTCCACTATTTTTGTCGGGGGCACCAAGCTGACAGATACATTCCCTTGACCCGTGGAATTATGCCTGAAGTAAACACTAAATGTCCCATTGCCATGATCTACAATTTTTCCAGTTATCAACAGGTTTAGCTTCACTGTTTTGATGTTGGAATGAAAGTCACCCCATCCAAACATTTTCTTAAACTTGCCCGTCTTAACAATGGGCCTTCGCTTGGCCCTGGGCCGAGGCTCTTGAAGGTCCGTGGAGTTCCTCAGCCAGTCCCAGAGGTCTTGCTCAGAATAAGGTTCTGGGGTGTCATATCGCAGGTCTAAATCTGTGTCGTTTTCTTTGCCACGAAAAGTCTGTGACAGGAGGCGGCTGATAGACAAGTCTTTGCTGCTTTCTGTCCATATGTGCTTTAGTGTGGATTTGCTGCTTCCCGATTTTAGAAGTTCTGACTTTCCACCATTTGTTAAATTGGCACACGTGACCTGAAAACAGAACAGAAAATGGCATTTACATCTCAGTGTCTGAACATCCAGCACACAGATCAAAGCCCGTTCAGAGAGACGCAGAATCAAATGATGACACTTCTTAAAGTACCTTCAGCATCTGGCCAATATTTATTAATATGTAACAAAATACCACTCCTGGTTTTACATAATGATGTAAGAGATGAGGTGTAGGTGGATTCAAAAAAGAAAAGAAAAGAAATAGGAAAGAAAGCCACCACTAAACCTGACGAAGACTGTAAAAGCATTGACTTTGATGAGTCACAGGTTCATCTAACATGAATAAAGCAAATTGAACTCCAACAGAAATCAAACTAAAGTTATGATTTCTTACCACCAAAATCTAAACAGTTTTAAAGTAAAATTTTATAATTCTTTTTTATACTTCAGAATTACTATAAACTTTAAAACTGTATGACTCTCTGAAATATGTCAACCAACATCCTATAGACTTTTGTTAATCCATGTCACAATCATGTCAGAAAACTTAGTTTTGCAGGGACTCTGGTATTTTTCAACAGGTCAAAACAAAATGTTTATTATCATTTATTATGAGTAAGGAACATATTGCATAAGACATACTTTTTTATCTTAAGGGTTTTAAAATGTGGTTTAGGAAAAGGGACATAAATGAAAACATCTAATACACAATATTCCATACATAATTGTCAATCTAGAGGGGCTGTACATCCATGGTGCACTGGCTCATGAAGCAGTAATGAAATTGTCCCAAAGAAGGAGGCAAAAGGGAATTAAAGTGCAATTTACCAGTGGCATCTGGGAGGGTGGAAGAAAAAAATGTATAAGCAGGAGACATGATTTCAAGGAAGAAGAACCAATATATTTGAAAGGATTATAAGATTATGGCAGGCAGACAAACCTCTGGTTTTCAGGTAGAATAGAAATTCAGTTCTAAATTATACTCTCCACAGCTGTAGTAATTATGAGTGTGAGCTCCAGAGTCAGACTGCCTGAATCTCAATTCAGGATGTGATGTATGATGCAGCCAAGTTCCTTAACTTGTTTATGTTTCTGTTTTACTCTTCGAAAGAATAGGAAAATGACACCCACTCCTTCCCAGAGCTATTGTGAGAATTAAACAGAATACTCCATTTAAAACACTAAGACAGAGAGTGCCTGAACTATGTTGAGTGTTCAACATTAGTATTACTAACTACTATATACTCTGAATCCCACTGGGTAATATTTCATGTAAATGAATTACTTATAATTGAGAGCAAAAATATTTTTTCTAAAATAAATCTTCCTTTACATAACCAAAACCTAAAACAATTAAAAAGGAAACATATATTCTTGAAAGTGCTACCTTGACACCAAAAAAAAATATGACAGGTTGAGTAGACAGTAAAACTTACGTTAACAAATGATGAGCATAAGTTTAGCTATTAAATTGTTTAATGACCAGATGCAGTGGACTCTTTGCCTTCAATGGGATGATGTGAAAGGCTTCCAGTAGTGCCAACAGTCAAGAAAACACTCTAGAACATCTCAGTTTGGGTAGAGAATCAGAGCAGGTTTCAGCTGTTATCAACACTGTCTTGAATACTCATATTCTCTCTTTCACTTAGATTAGGAGAGGAGCAGGGCAATGTCTAAAAGAGAATATCAATCACGAAAAACCAGGAAGGGTCCATAGGAAAGTTGCCAGACCCTTCCAGAACCCCAATTTATGTTGTTGTATTAATAATTCAATAACTATATAGTGAGACTCTGCTAATATTGCATTAAATAATCCTATATAATAAAACCCTAATATGCAAATCGACCAAACGGCAGAACAACTGGTCACTATGATGCGCACTGACCACCATGGGGCAGACACTCAACGCAGGAGCTGCCCCTCACTGTCAGTGCGCTTCCACAGGAGGACTGCCTCTCAGCCAGAAGCCAGGTTCACGGCTGGCAAGCGCAGCAGCGGTGGCAGGAGCTTCTCCTGCCTCCAAGGCAGCGCTCAGGAGCAGCGAGCCTGGCTTCTGGCTGAGCAGCGCTCCCACAGGGGGAGTGCCATGGAGGTGCAGGAGCTAAGAACCCCTCGGGTGTTGTCTGCCTGCCAGCTTAAGCCTGCTTAGGCTAGCACGTGAACATCCCCTGAGGGTTCCCAGACTGCGAGAGGGTGCAGGCCTGGCTGAGGGACCGCCCCCCGTCCTTTCCCAAGTGCACGAATGTCGTGCACCAGGCCTCTAGTAGAAATATAAGAATGAGACATGGTTTTTGCCCTCAAGGACATCCCAGTCTAATGGGAGAATCAATTCAGCAAATAACAGTGATGTGACCAATACTATGTACAACATTGTAGGAGGCACAGTCAGAGTTAAAAGGTTGGGATGTAGCAGAAAATAAGATCCTCAGACCTGAAAGATAAAAGAGGTTTGAGGGTTAAGAAGATAGAGATTGGATCAGAGGAGTTCTAAGCATAAGGAACAAACTGGGCAAAAGAACCAAGCTGAAAGGACATGTCAAACTTGAGACTAGAAAATAATCTCTGAGCCTTGGGGAGCACTGATAGGGAGGAGAAACAGAGAAACAACTTGCAAGAAGTCAATAGAATTTGAATAAGGTACCCTGAGGTCAAACTGTGCAGGTTCTGCAAAGACATTTAAGCTTTATCTTACAAGTAATGGGAAATCACCATATTTTGTTCTGTTTTGTTTTTAAGTATGCTGTCCTGGCTCTAGAAGAATCACTGAGTGGACTTTGAAGGGTAGGTTGGCTGGTAGGAAGAGGACTTGGAGAAAGAATGACTAGTTAAATAACTAATTGCAATATTTTATTTCAGAAAGTCAATGAGCCTGAACCAAGGCAGAGAAAAAGAGAAAAAAAAGAAATGGACGTGCAAGATATTTTAGAGGTAGGATTAACTCAACTTGATAATATATTGGCTAAGCAGGAACATGAAAAAGTTAATGTGTTTGCTTACACTATAAGGGATACAGAACAAGTTAGCTGGAAAATAAAATTAAAATCTCATGGGGACATTGAACATTGAAGTGCCTGCAAGTCATTCTGATGAGGCTATTTAAAAGAATGTTTATAAGATGGGTCTGAAAGTCTGGAGAAATGAGGAGGTGGTGATGTTGATGTAGTATGAGTGGAGGGTACTGTATAGATAGAGCATGGTATAGAGAAGAAGGTGGTGATGACATGTAAAAAAATGCCAATGCTTTGAGGACAAGCAGAAGAGGTGCCAAGGTAGGTAGAGACAAAAGAGAATAATTGAAGGAAAATAATATAGTAGAAACCACGTGAAGATGAGGGTGGGGGGGAAGCAGGCATGGGCAAGATTGAAATTCCAAGTAAAAGTCTAATACTAAACGCACTTAAAAAGAAGAACCTTGACTTTTAAAATCCACCTTATTAAAGCTACTTTGGACAGTGGAAAAGAGCTAATAATGCCAGATGGGAAAGAAGAACAACTAGCTTGATACATCTGCTCCCAGATGCAGTCAGGAATCATTGCCTTTCTCCTTCTATCGTACTGCTTCACATCTTAAGAACTTTCATCTTTGAAGCACATAAATACGCACATAAAATAGAAATAGATTTTGAGCCCTACTGAATGAACAACATCATTGCAAAAGAAAACCCTGTGCCCAGAACACCCTCTGCCATTGATTTTACAAACATATTAAGAGAGTTTCCTTTTAAAAGTCACTTAAAGATCCTTTGATGTCAGTACATATGAGTGATAACAAAACTGGGGAGGATATGGCTTAAAGATGAGTACAAAGAAAAGCTGACAACTTCAAATTTATCTAATTCTGAAAGGGCCAAGCATTGTGCCTTTTTTTCTACAATTAATGATAATTTTCTTTATAATACCAAAAACACCAAAATGCTATGCTTCTTAGCTGAATATAATGTTCCATGTCAAAAGAGGCCAATGCCCATTTCAGGAGCTGGCTCACTGATTCAATGAGACCATTTCCACAAATTATGTGTTGCTTGTCTCATTATTTTAGAAACATTGAGAATAATAATGATTCTTAACATGATGAGGTATAGACATTTTAAAATAGATGTTTGTTTTGCAAACATTGCTAAATAGGTATGAAGAAAAAGGTCATTTCTTTCCACCATAAACAAAGACAGGTAACATGAAAGGCATGTCTCGGGCAGGACCTGTGTATAGGACTAGGGAGAAAAGACTACCATGCAATGTTGGGAGTGTTACTACACTTTGATCTAACTCCTTTTTATGTGTTAGGGCCATACTTTAATATATTTTCAGCATAGGTATATAATCATAACATCAATATGTTAGCTATTAAAATATTGTTTGAAGACACCACTTTTGGGTATTAACCACTCCTTAACTTCATTGCCACCTCAATTATGCTCCTGGCCTTATGAGATAAAATATAAAAATTACACTCCTTCCCTAACCAGTTTGGTTCAGTGGCTAGAGCGTCGGCCTGCAGACTGAAGGGTCCCAGGTTCAATTCCAGTCAAGGGCATGTACCTTGGTTGCGAGCACATCCCCAGTAGGGGTTGTGCAGGAGGCAGCTGATCAATGTTTCTCTCTCATCGATGTTTCTAACTCTCTATCCCTCTCCCTTCCTCTCTTTAAAAAATCCATAAAATATATGTATTTTTAAAAATACACTCCTTTTACATATACTTTCTCCAATTAGAGGTACCTCCAGATGTTTGTATACCTCTTTTTACAAGCAATAAGATGCCTTGTAATTTCTGCCAACTTGCACATGGTACTGTTGATCTATTACTGTTTAATATAAATAATTTCAAATTGCTTTGAAAATCATGTACTTATTTCATCAACTGTATGAATACTTGAAGCCAAACAAAAATTTTAAACAACCTGAAGCTTAAATAATGGATCTCTCATCAGTGAATAACTAATCAACAAAATGCAAAATGGCCTTGCTCTATGATTACAACATCATTTTGGCAGTTTTATGATTCACAATGTTAAATATATGTTGCATACTATTAACTGT